TAGCACAATATAATCCTCAAAAAAGGAAAACGTTGGAGATGAATAATTTAACAATTTATTCTTTTTTAGATATAGAAATAATCCTAAACATTTTAAACCAATTTAATTGGTGATAAAATGATCATGTGGTTATGTTTTATCAATCTTATTAGTTGGATGGATATAGAGTAATATAATTCTTAATAAAACGCTAAAAAACACATAGTACAATTTAATCCTGGGGATCCCTGAAAATATAGATTCATTTTTAGCATTTTTATTGTTCGAATTGATAGTTCTGACCTAAAAATATATGTTTCAAAAAGAAGACATAGAATAATATAATCCTCAGACGCTTTATAAATTAATAAATTTTATTTTAACTCATATAATTGTAATATTACATAAAGGAACATACTAAAAATTTTATAAATCTTAAAAATTATATTTTGAACTTAGAATGAATATAATATGATATCTATAGGCCGTGTCTTGGGTCAACTCAATTGCTTTTTAGTATAAGCTAAGAAGTTTTTGAACTAGGAAACCCATTTTGGTTTGTTTTAAGTATTTGGCATTGTTATATTTCGTAATTTATTCTAATTTTTTAGATATTTTTATTATGTTTTTTTCGGTTTTTTTTTTAAATTTTCTTTTGCTTTTTGGGGCATTTAGGAATAAGTCGGCCTAAGACACGGCCACACTGTTTATTACGTTAGTTTATCACGGCTTTCTATAAGCTTTCTAAATCAATATAAAAATTATAATATTTAGCAAGTTAAAAAATATTTTATTCAAATTTTATGAATACGAATTGATTCTGTAGAGAGGGGAAGGAGGGTTCAATCTCCTCCCTAATGGAAAATATTACTAGGTAAAATTTTGTTTATACATTGAGATCTAGGTGAAAATTTGCTTTTTTCTTTTAAATTGATAAACCCCAATTTTCTATTCCTATAAAATTATCTCAGAAATTTCTTAAGTTAAAAAAGTAGGGGGGAAAACTATAAATAAACAATAGTATTGGCACATTTAATTTATAAAAAAAAAACTTGCTTAGAAAGCAATTTAAAATCTGATATTTAAGACTCAGCCTACCCTTTCATTCATATTATTGCGGATTCACGGCGACGCAGTACGTATTCTAAGACGCGAATTCGCGATAACTGTGAATGCAGAGTAAGGCCTTATTTATAGTAAACGCGTTAATTTAGTTTTTATTTGGTATAACCAATGTTAATCAAACATTAAATATTCACGCAACCAGATATTCCTTTCTTCTATAATTTTGTACTGGCATGTGCCAATCTTGACGATCTTATTTTGTCAATAAAGCGTTTTTCTTAAAACTACCTGCTAATCGGGTTGAAGAATTAAAAATATTAAATATGCTATAATTTTTATCATAAATTTCTAAATTAATGCTTCCAGAAGCTTAGCATACATCACATTTAACCCTGCATTTCACAGTTAGCACGTATTCGCGGCGAAATATACAAAATATGCTGTATTTTTATATGTTTTGCTGAGAATCCGTGCAAACTATGAATGCAGGATCAAGTATGATATAGTTTTCATTTGACTTATAATTCGGTTATGATAGGCAAAATTAATAGAAGAATCAATAAGTAAGGCAATAAATATTAAAACGATATGCTTAGTACTTTTAATTCTTCATTCTGACTTGAAATTTTGACAATTTTTTCCCATTTTAATAATCTACCAAACCATTTAAATCAATAAAATTAACTATTTAAACGTAATTAATGGTTTTGTATGTTTCAGAAATAGGGTTTCCAAAAGCTTGGCCCACTTCACTCTTAAAACATGACGTCAATTGTTTTCATTTTGTTTATAACTCGGTTTCTTTTTTGGTTGTTCACAAAACTGATTGAGGAATTAGTAAGTACTAGTCAAGCAGGAAATATTAGTGCAAACCAGATATTGAGTTCTATATTTTCCATTCATATGATGTCAAATATATAATTTTTTTAAATTTGGCTATACTGGTTAAAGTTAGTGTTAAAATGTCGCGCGTTTTACGACACTGAACTCGAGTTGGAGAAGTAAAATACAACTTTAAATAGAGCACAATTCAAAGTAAGTTTTGCTACTCAAAACTTGAATAAAATTTAAGCTAAGTAGACTCGGCTTCGCCGAACATCATTGGCACTAATAAAGAAACATTGGCATCGATTAGTTAATTTCCCTATGAAAAATAAAAAAATTCCTAGACAAAATTTTAAAGGTGTGATCCGGAGATGGGCTGATAAAATGGGTTTGATCGTAAATAATTATTTTTTTAAGTATTTTTTAGAAAATTACAATTAAAATACTATTTTATAAACAACTACCCTTTCATTGCATGCACTAGTTTTACGTGTCTAGCAAAAGCTATTTTAAGTGCTAAACGTTCATGAATATTGTATCAAAATTTTTAAAAGCAATCGTTACAAAAAATGAAATTATGATTAGAAAAATATGTAATATAATAAATGTAAATTTGATAAATATATATTTTTTAATCATTTCATTATATTGGAAAATTTAAATGGTAAAATCTTCTATAGTATGTCATTTTGAGTAACGAAAGCGAGTAATGTTTATAACACTGTTTCTAATCATAAAATGCAAATTTTCCTACTTATAAAAATACCAATATCTATAAATATTTTATCCACAAATCTATTTTGTTTACAGTGTCTTTTTTACGTGAAAATTTCTCATCCATTTTATTCAAATTCTGTATGATTAATTCGATTTCTCATAAATTGAATGATATTGATATAATATTTATATTCCAGACAGATTTCACTAAGATAAAAAAAATTCTGATGTGTCATAATGTTGCTAAACGGCTAACCCAATATTAGCCAAAAAATATTACGCAACCTTGGAGGGAAAGGTATCGAAATCTCTAGGCTTGCTCGATATAATTTTGGCTAAAATCTTTTTAAAATCAGCGAAATGTGGCATAAATTTCATAGTTTTTCTAGGTTTGAGGCTTGGTTAGAATTCAAAAAATTTATTTAATTTTTTTATCGAATAAATTGTTATTTTTGGCGTAGGCTAAGAAGGCTGAGTGAAAATAAACGAAGTTGACAATTTTTACGTCATTTTATAGTTTATTTCAATATTTTAAGGTAAAATGGCAGAAATTTTTATAAAATATGAATAAAATATCAAGTATAAAATTTCGATGGTAGAGATAGAAAAGTATGTATAAAATTTTTAAATTTGCTTTAAACATTCGCATTTTTTTCGAGGGACATAAATTAATTTCTCGGAACAGTCCAATATAGAGAAGTGCATCTGAGCGGTTAAATCTCCCCAATTATTAGAGCGACCCTGCAGCACATAATAATTTTTTTGAAGACATAAGTTGCATTAATTAAGCTGCCCGAACCCAACCCAAAAAAAATATACTTCTCGAAGTTGCCATTGGCTGCGCAGATCCCTGAACACTAAATGCTACAATTCTCTTGGAACATAAAATATAAATTTAAAAAAATAATAAAATATTGATAGTACGCAGATGTTATTATTATTATTGATAAGAAAAAGTTATGTTGTGTTTTTATAGGTTTGCTTTGTATTGTAATTCTTGTAACTTTTCTATTATTTACTTTATACATTATATATTTTATTTTTCTTTAAACTCATAATATATATATATTATTTAATTTATTCTATAATATATAAAAAACAAAATTTGTTGAGCAAACAAAAGCTAAAGCAATAAAACAAAATTATCGTAAATATAATAATTTTATCATTTTTTTTACGAGAATAAATCCTACCTAATATGAACACTTTATATTAGGCTCAAAATCTTTCTAATTATTGCCCTAAACCATGCCAAGGAAATTCTTTCTATAATATGGATAAGCGATAAAATGAAAAGAAAAACTGTTCATATTAGACAAGTTTTTTTTCTTCTCCTTTTAAAAGATCGATAAAAAAATAATAATTACGCGTTAAAAATATTTATTTTTTTGCTTCGCTTTCGTTTTAAATAAAATATTTATTATCTTTTTACCTCCTAGCGATAATTAAAAAATAAAACGCGAGCTGATAATAAAAAATAAATAAAAACAAGATGGCTGATTTTAACGAAAAGGCAACAAGATGGAGGTTGTTTAAGATTTTTTTAAAAAATATTTTTTCCTATTTGTAAATAAAAACATTAATTTTGTGGTTGGAAAGAAGGGAAATTTTTTTTGAAAAAAACCATTCAAATTTCATTTATGAGTGAATGAATAAAATTTTTTTATTATTATTTTATATTTTTTTGATGATAATAATTTATTTACTATTCATTTCTTATTTAGTGTAAGAAATAAAAAAATATTTATATTTATCACCACGGGATTTTCTTGGACATCAATAATTGGAAATATTTATTTATAATATTAAAAAAAAATATATAAAATATATATATTTTATTTTTAGTAAATAAGGTAAAATTTTTTTTTATTATATTTCATATATTTCAAAAATAAAAATATTTATATTTCAATAATAATAAATAAAATATTTGTATTTATATTATTTTTTAAAGTTATTTTATGTTACTTATTTGTGTATGATTAATTAATGAAATAAGAAAGATAATATTGGTTTTGATTTTTATTTTTACGATTAGAGACTTAAAATCCGAAGATTAAATTTATTAAAATTAAAAACAAATATTTTAAGAAAAATGCATAATAAATACCAACATTAATCAAATTTTGATTGAAAGTAAATCTTTCAGAATTAATTGGGCTTTTTTAAATCATCTTTGCCTTTCCTACGTCTATTTTATAATTGTATATGCCTTACCAATAGGGGAAAAATTAATTAGATTATATTGCTTTTTAGTGTATTTATTTTATTTATATTTTTAAATATTTATTTATTGAAATAATAGTATAACGAAGTAAACAAATATTTATTATCAAAAAATTAAATAAAAAATAAATTTCATATTTTTATCAAAAAATTTTAAACTTTAAAAAATAATTTTTAAATAAATCGATTTTTTAGCTATATAAATTATAACGCAATTCTGGACTTCATCATGGATTGAAAGCCTATCAATTTATATATAAATTAAAAAATTTTATCCAATAATTATGCCTTCTATATCTAAAAGTAACGCTAAATCGATCAAGAGGCAGCATCAACATACTTCTATTCCTGTAAATATTCCAGAACCATCTCGTAATGCCTACAATTTATAACTTTTATTGAATTTTTTTAAAAAATTTTTCTAAACTAAAATCCTAAATATATTATTTTAATGATTCGAATTAAGAAACTATTTCTACATTTATTAAAGTTAACATATAAATACAACTTAAAAAATAAAAATGGTTTCTAATTACATTCCTGCCAGTTGTATTATAATATAAGGTAATTTATTATAGAGTTAGCGTTATCCAATCAGAAACTCCTTGCTTTATCATTGTTAAAAAATAATAAATATTTTATATTATAGTTTACCTAAACTTTATGAAAAATGGCATTCATTCTCATTAGGATAATAAATATTATTTTTACCTATAAGTCAAGAATTATTTAGAAATATTTATGAAAATTATCTTCTGTTTGATATTCCAAAACATGAGTTATATTCATTTGTTTAATATAGACACAGTTATCTTTTACTTTGGCTGAAATACTAATAGTCAAAATGTCTTGTTAGCAAAAAAATAGCTTCAATTTAAAAATACCCTTAAAAACAACCTTAATTGTAATTTATGCCAAATTAAAAGGTCAATTTATTTGATTTAGATCACAAAAAATCGTTTTTTAATATAGCATACATCTTATATTTATATAAAATAATAACCCAACTCAAGGAATATTTTTTAATTGGATGAAATATATTAAAAATTAAACAGGTATGTAGTATTAAAGGCTAGAGATATGGTTTAGGGTTAATTAGAGATTTGAGACATATGGATTACATGTTAAGATATAGTTTAAAAATTTGCAATTTGCCCTAATGAGTATGATTTCAATCTTTGCATTGATTTAATAATTGCCTAAATGTTATCCACATATATCGTTTAATTTGTATGGATGAGAATAGGGTTGTTAGAATAATATTATAATGGCTCGGTTTGAGCCGATTTTTAAAAACGGCTAACTCAATATTTTAGTAAAAAAAAATATTGACTATAAGCCTCCAGATTTCTCTAATGGATGTCCAAAACTATTTGCCATCTATGACCAAAATCTTCAGGCTTGGGTAATATTGTTCTAGATAAACATTGAGTTAGCCTTAAAATCAGCTCAAATCGAGCCCTTACTATATGTAAGAATGGAGATAATTGGACCCCTATTTGTCAAATATATTATTCTAGCTAAACTAAATTAGATCTTTATTAAAAATCGACCTGAATTCTGCTTTTTAACAACTCTAGATGAGTGGCTAAGAATTAATTTGACAAGTCAGTCTGGGCAAAAAGATTTTTTGGTTAGACCAACTCAACAAAAACCTTATTTTTAAAAGCTTAGATATTTGGTATTTACATTTAGATAAAAATTTGTTCCATACTTGAAAACTGATCAAAAATTTTCACATCCTCTATTGAAAATATATCCTTTGTAAGTGCAAAATGATTTTGTGTGTAAATTTATTAAAAGTTACTTCTCAAATGCATCATATATAAGATACTCTTTTGAAAAATAATAGCTAGAGAAATTTTTTCCCTAAGATACAATTTAAATTTTATTATAATCAGATGTTCTATTAAAATGGGAATCTATTATTAAAACTCAAATTTTTCAACCCACATTTTTTTATATTTAGTTTGAAATTTTATTTAAAATATTTTTAACCTTTAATAATATAACATTGTCAACCCCATAGAAAATATGCTAAATCCTTAGTTTTTCTGTTTTTTTTATAAAAATAATCTCAATTTCTTCATTAATTTTTTTTATAAATTTCACTGTATTTGGTATCACATATTCTAAAGATACCTCAAGTCTTTGACTACTTTTATGCTACTAATTTATAAAAGTTCAGCCCGAGACATCAGGTCTCCTATTTTAAAATACAATTATAAATTTGATATGTAATAATTATGGTAATTTCTATAATTGCTTTAGTGCTTCTTTAGCTCTATCTTAAATCCTGATACCAATTTTAGAAATTTTCTTTTTTGTTGATAACTTTTTCAATTTATACTGTTTACCAAAAGGGTTGAAACATAAAATGTATACTAGTTAAGCAGTATTGCATATCGACATTAGCCTTAAAATTAGTGCTTTCAAAAGTTTGGTAAACCATGCCCAGGATTGCTTCTTAATATGAGGTTCAAATTCATATAAATTTTTAAAAATTTTATAAGATTTTAATAATCTTACTCCTATATCTATATCTGAAATATACCAAGAACAAATAATATCTATAAAAATCGTAGAATGATAAGATTCAAAAATATTTTGAATCAGGGAAAGGAAGTTATTTTGGCGCCATTAATTTTTGAATCGCATATATTTTGATATCTAAGACTCAGGGGCGTTAAAGATTTTATTGGGCTTATAGTTTGTTTATTGACTGGAAAAAACTGATTTATGAATTAATGTACTAAATAAGTCATAATAGTATCAGGATTAACGCTTCCAAGAGTTTGGCTGACTTCACGCTTAACCATGCAAGTTAGCGCGAATTCGCGGGTATACAAAAATGAACGTAAATTATTATACACATCTTACCCTGCCTTCTTAGCTAGAATTCACGACGAAGCACATATGTTTAGTTTTTATTTTGCTTATGGCTCGGTTACCTTTTTGTGGTTGGCAAAATTGATTATTTTATATTCTACATGATGCCATTAGCGATTTTTTAATATTATTCTTAAAGCATAACGTCATAGTTTTCATTTTGTTTTTTTTTGTGGTTCCCAAAATGATTAAGGAATATCGCAAAATATACCAGTTATTTAGTTCTTCTATATTTATTCTGGCCCAATTTTTACCCTATTATAGTTTTTTTATACTCTGCCAAATTAATTAAAATAATACTTAGTCACTAAGCATTGAAAATTTTCAGAAATGTTTTTTTAATCTTAAGGATGGCCAAAATTTTGGTTTCAATAATTTTGCCCTTTATACTGGCTACTAATATTGGTTAAAGCACTGCATCAATAGGCATATTAATAAAACCCGAAATATTGCCATAAATTTTAGAATTAGTGTTTCCAAATATTCAAAACACTTAAACGGAAATGATATAAAGATATTTACATATTCTAAAAGAGCGAAATCAAAAAAATAATATATGGAAATTTAAAAATGCCTAATCAGAATTTTGCAGAACCCTGATCCGGGTGGGGAAAGGTGGCTTAGAGACGAAACCTCAGAAATTTTTTTTATACCCACCCTTTCCATCCTTCAATGAAACCTGGCTAACACCACTGCATAATCTTCAAATTTAATATCCCGATTTGTTAAAAGAGTATTTAATGTTTGATGGGAATCAATATTGTATCGGGCCTAATTTTTCAGCCCGGCCCAGTTTGAATTTTTTTTTAAAAATTTGTTCCGCCCGATCCCGAACGAAATTTATTTATTGGTCCCGGAAAGGCCTATCTAAATAAAAATAATTTGTCCGGCCCGGCTCGAATTTATTTAAATTTTTTTATTGTAAAAAATTCTATAAATAGAAAATATCGCCTGCCTTGTTTTTTGTAATAATTTTAAAATATATATATTTATTTGACAAAATTAATATCAAATTTTAAAATTTAAACCCAACCCAGCCCGAAAAAATTCTCCGATACGGGCCTGGGCCGTAATTTTCAGATCTCTATTTTGTATTATTTTTATTCTGAGATTTTTATGTCACCCATTATAAAATAAAATTCTTGCTTTATTAAAATTTTAAATATATGAAATCGGATAGAATTTTAATTAATTCATTAGAAAAGGATTGTTATAGATACAACATTTAATAACTAATTACTACCTCTGATCATCAGCAATTCTTCGACTGTCACGTCTATCTTGACAACAATAGAAGTCAAAATTCAAACTGGCATAAATTTAGGCACAGTATTATAAGGAATAAGATCACGAGTATCTGATGAGATTTAATAAAAGCTTGTGTTTGATGTTCGATTCTTTTCATAGTTGTTTTGTTTTGAATTTTTTGCTTTTCGCCTAATTTGCCGTTGCTTGTGACGTTTCATGATTGGTGCATACACTGAATATAAATGTTTCAGGTAAAAGCAGTTTAGCATAAAATCTTCTTCGACGTTCCGAATATATTTTTGCGATAATCTTTGAGAATCAAAAAAATCGTCTTTTTTGTGAATTATTTTTCTTAAATTCTATATAAAAGGGTATTTGATAAATTTTTTGTAATTTTTATTTATATCTTATAAAATCTTTCATGATGAAATAATAAAAAACATTTAAAAAATTATTTATCTTCTTTATATAAATATTTGAAGATTTTTAATTTGAAAGAGGTCGGCGGAGTTTTACCCGAACGCATTCACCCACCCATTTATTTTCTAACCGCACACTTGCCAGTTCATGATTTGAAAAAAATTTTGTTCGCCTATTTATCTGAACATTTTGTTTCACCCGCCCATCCAATGTTTAAAAATTATTTGATTGGTTTTGCTATTTATTTATTTTATTTAAATATATTTTTACTTATAAAATATGCAAAATTACGAAATCAAAAAATTATTTTTTAAAAAATAACTATCTAAGCCTATTCTGCTTATTTTGGTCTGAAAATATTTTAATGCCTGCCCTTCCATTCTTCTTCAGGTGACCTCTATATATCACCTTTAAGACTTTTTCGAGCATGAGCAGCCACAATGAAATTATAATCGTCCATTTAATAATATAATGCCGCCATGCGCTGTTTCTTGCCAACAAACGTTGGTTCAAGTGAATTTCTCAACTAGTGCATTCCGTATCGATAGGCTTAATTTTTTTTTCACATCATGACAGCATCCCTTTGTTCGGAAATACATATGAAATTATAGCTGCTACTCCCTAGTCGGTTAGATCACATTCTTTAATTTTCGGTCGATTCGCATCATGTGGACACAATGAGAGATGTTTAGATAGTAGAAGCTTGCTAACCCTCTATCATTAAATATTTACGCGTAAGAATCAATAATCTCGAAGATGGAGTTTTATCTCAGATGATTATCATTGTAGGTGACATGGTAGTGATTTTTAAAATACTGTAGTGGACGGGTGGTCGGACCGGAAGCTTCAACTCTTCTATTATATATATATATATACACCATTTTACCCTGCATTCACAATGAGCCATAATTCGTGGCGGAGGATTATACAAAAATTAATGTAAAAATATTTTATTTATATCATATTTTGTAAACTTCGCCGCGAATTGGCGATAATAGTAAATGCAGGGAAAGACTGAGATTGTGCATAAATTTTCTAATGAGAAAACCTTTTTAATAGTATTCAAGGCCGCCTTTTTTTTAAAAAAAATTTAAATTGTTGAAAAAATACGATATTTTAAACGTAAAAGGCAAAAAAATCTGACACTTAAGGGTAATAATTTTTTTTGATGTTATTAACAATATTTCATTAAAACACTAGGAAAGTTTAAAATTATATGGAATTTCGAGTCAACCGACTAAATCTTCCCGATCTACCCTAGTTCGGTCGGATCGGTTATAGTCCAAGGACCTGCGAAACCTCGCCTCCGGGGAAAAATAGCTCAACTTTGAAGAAAGCAGAAATAAATTAAGTATCGTCTCAATTGCTTAGCGAATTTTCTTTCACATCAACTATTCCGGCGGTGTCAAACTAAATATACTTAAATTTCTTGAACAAAAATTTACTATTTTTATTTTTTCTACCTTTTAGTACTAATGCCATCTGTTCAGTTTGATAATAATTAACGCCAGGCGCTTAACCAGGAGGGTGGGGCCATCAAAAACCTGTTCTCGTAAATATTATATTAAGAGTGGATCTAAAGATCTCCAATTTTATGGGGAAATTCTCCCCCCCCCCTCTTTTTCTTTCAATCCTGGGTACGTCTATGATTTACATCTACAAAATAGATAAGTTAAAAAACCAGAGACCCGGAGTGAACCGTAACGAAACGTTAAACCATTATAAATATCAGAACCGTAATCAAATCGATATAATTATTTTTTGAAGGAGTAAAAAGAACCTTTATAAAAAAAGGTTAAACCGGTTCAGTTTTTATATTTTAGCAATCAAAAAAATTTTCAGAATTATATAAACTTGCTCTTATAGTACTGGCTGTTCCCGCAACACAAGTTTCTGTAGGGCCTTTTCGGGGCTAAAATTTGTGTTATCGTCACAACAAACAAATATGAATCCATTTATATTAGAAAATATATTACTTATAATATATTTAAAAATGAGTTATTTTGAATCTTGTATATTTTTTTATATATAATTCATATAATAAAAATAAATTACGATGGTGTTGTTTCAATAAGAAGAAAATTTTCTAACCGTAATGAACCATCCGAACCTCTGTAAATTTTTTCTTAAGAACCGTAACCAAAACGTAACTATTATAATATTTTACATATTGAACCGTAACCAAACTGAACCGGAATAAATAACGGTTCGGGTCCTTGCCAAAAACTACTCCATCTTTGTTTGGGGATCTTTTTAAATCAGAGCCTGAAATTCTGAAGGACAAAACATCTCATCTTCAAAGATTTAAGAATGTTTAAAAGATTTTTGAATAAAATTTCACGACTAAATCACAATTTTTTGATCTTTTTCAATTTTATCATCTTAAAATATTTTTTGGTCAAAATTCTGTTTTAAATAAGAATCATCACAAAGCCAAGGATAATCTGTTTTACATTACAATTTATATGGGTGATTTTTTTAACACAACCTTAATTAATTAGCAATACATTATATGTCCTTCGAATAAATAATATCGCCTCCCTTTATCAAACAAATTTAATTATATATCAATGAAAAGTGAAAAAAAATACTTTATATAAACAAAAAAAATTTAAATTTACCTTTTCACAATTTAAAAACTGGGGAAAAAAATATTATTAGTATATAATTACAAAAAATTTAATCAATATTTATATGTATTTAATTTAACTTAATATAATTAAATTTTATATAGAAGGTAAATATTTAAAAAAAAAGATAAAAATGTGCTTATTGGCATGCCTCCTATTTATTTTGCGAGTATGACAAGGTAAACAAGAGCTTGTCAATAATATAATTTTTTTACAACATAATTTTTTAATATAATATCTTTAGGGAGTCTACCCTGTATAGCACCGAACCTATACATATTTTTTATAACCCATCTAAATAATTATTTTAAAGAATGGGTTTACTTTTAAATGCATTTTTGCCGCCTATAAAATTTCGACTTTTAAGGGGCTTGGGTATTTTCAGGACTTTAAAGAAATCCTGTTAAAAAAATTGATTATATTTCTCTAAATATTTTAATTAATGATTTATTCGATATATCGGCCTACACTGGTATTTGAGTCGATCCGATAGTGTGGAAATTGGCATGTTCAAAGATTCCGATGATTAAATTATATTTTTTTGTGTACCCTGTCCACCGAACGTATACATATTTTTTTTAAGTCAAGTCTGATAATAACTCATCTAGATAATTATTTTAAAAAAAAACAAGTTTATTTTAAATGCATTTTTTGCCACCTATAAAATTTTGATTTTTTAAAGGCCTTGAGTATTTTCAGGACCACGAAGAACTTCCTTTAAAAAAACTGATTATATTTCCCTAAAAATTAGAATTAACGTTTTTATTCGATTTATCGGCCGAATATTTGAATCAATAATTTGAAAATTGGCATATTATCGAGTTACTTTGATTAAATTATTTTTTTGGTACCCTTTATACCACCGAACCTATACATATTTTTTTGGAAGCCAAATTTGGAAAAAGTTTATTTTAAATGCATTTTTGTCGCCTATAAAATTTCGGCTTTAAGTCTTGGATATTTTCAGGTGTCCGAAGAAATCCATTTTAAAAACTGATTTAATTTTTCAAAATATTTTAACTAATGTTTTTATTCGATATATCAGCCGGTTCTGATATTTAATTCGATCTATAATATGAAAATTGATATATTCAGAATTTACGATGATAATTTATTTTTTTGAGCCTTCTCATCTATTAAAATTATGTAACAAAAAGGATGTAATCTGTATTGCTTAATTATATAACTATAAATCAAACACTTGTGCTGCACACTTTAGAGTCCAGGTTTTTTGCTTCAACCAGGTTTTTTAAATCTTGATTATGGGTTTAAAGAGAAAATAATATAAGATAGATGCCGGATATTGAGCCTCGTTTATAGTAAGCATAAAATCCAGAGCATGTCACTAGCGAGCGATTCGTCGCTAAACTATAGCATAGCTGTATAATTTAACATTGAATTTTCTAAATTACGTATCGCATAAGCGACATCATGCTATTTCTTGCTTACTATAAAGAAAAGCTCTTCTCATGGTTCTCATTTCCTAAATTTTTGTTCATTGATTTTCTGGCCCGGGCTTGAGGGTCACTGATAGAATAAAAGATGAATGATTCAATCACATTTTATAGTTAAAATTTTTGTTTAATAGGAAATATGATATCTCCGATACCTAAAGGTGGGGCCAATGATTCATCTTCCGATTTCCAACAATTTTTACAGCAGCACCAACAGCTGACCACAGATCAATTGCAGCAATTTATCCAACAATTTACCAATATGCAACAAAATCAGGTACAAATTTTAAAAAAAAATATCAAAATTTTGAAATTCAATTTTGAATTCAGCTAGGAGTAAATGCTATGCTCTCATCACATAAAGATGCAGAAGATATATAATTTTTTTAAGTTTTGATTATCCTCGAAGAAATAAGACACGCTCTATTTAATATTTTTCGGCAAGCGAGCTTTTACCTCTCTTCCGATGTGATCTACTTATATGATTACTTACGAGTAAAGTGACGACTTTATCTTCTAAATAATTTTTCGTAAATTAATATTAAGGGATACCCCTTTTTTTACAGTAATGATAATTATGTGAAGTTAATTTTATTGAATAAATAATTGCATTCATGATCTATAAAATTAATTTACAACTAATTTCCAAATTTCTTTTAATTAGCAACAATTAGCAGGTATACAATAAAATTATATCTCTTGTGTGGACTCATTGGCACATTGGTGAAAATACAAAAAAAAATTTTTTTATTAAATTATTGTTTATTACTAAATGGAATTTTTATGTTTATTTTTTTAACACAAAAAAAAGGTATAATGTAATTAAATAGATGTTTGCACATTAAGCAGAAATGAATGAATGATTCTTTTTTTTATAATTAAATTATATATATATATATATATATATATATGTATACCAAAGTATTTACATTACCTAACTCTTTAAATATATTTTATTTTAAATATCTCATCAAAAGATAATCAAAATGCTTTTAATTTTTGTGAGGAAAATGTAATAAAAAAAGAAGAACCAACTTTGACTGACTTTGACAATGGCCAAATGTTTTCTAAAAAAAAGCCATTTTATTTTTTGTTCTATTTTTATATAAAAATTTTTGTGAATATTGTAAAAAAATACCAAGCTGATTAAATCTATAGTTTAAAAGGGCTAACCCGGCATTCATAGTTAATGCGAATTCATGCCATTAAGCATTTTTGCCAATTTTTGGTTACTTTGCCCTGTATTTGCGTTAACTATGAATGTAGGGTAATATGGCTCAGATAATTAGTCATTATTTTGGTTGACCGACAAATAAGTTATAATTATAATCTAATCTATATTTTGTGATACTGATAGTTGATTGTTTTTTTAAATTAATAAAATTATTGCAATTTTCATTACGCTAATCATTTATTTCCACCTAGATGCAAGAGATTTTCAACAAACAATACAAACAAGTCATACAACAAATCCAGGAACAACTCCAACTCAATTTGCTACAACAATCCCAACTGCTGCAGCATCAATCGAGTTCTGACAAGGATTTTGACCCAAATAAGCTGCAGCAACAACTTCAGCAGCTAGCGCTTCAGCAGCAACAGTTGATCCAACAAGCTCAAGCCCTTCAACAACAATTTTTATCTCAACATGTGGCTGGCGTGCCAGGGGTTTTGTTGGCCTCCCCGAATTCTAATAGTAGTTAATATTAAAAATATTGAATAATAGATCTTTTAGTTTAAATTCAACATAGCAATATATCAATATCAGTTAAATTAGTAAGATTATTTTTTATACCTCAAATGGTTACTATAAATATTATAATGCGATTGATTTATTAATCAGATCTATCGCCTCAAAAAGATAACAATAATAACTCTCTATTACTATTGAATACCAACGACAACAAATCAGCTTTGTCTTCCATATCAGCTTCCGTTGCGCTGAACAATAATTCCTTATCGTTACTCACCAATTCCTCCCTTCTAAACCAGCAGCAACATCACCAATTATCATCTAACAACCACAATAGCTTAAACTTGAACGACCAGAGTTGTAATGGTATACCGGCCAGTTTTTTTGGACCTCTCTACGGCCATGGAGTCTGCAAATGGCCCGGATGTGACTCGAGATGCTCTGATTACCAAAGTTTTATCAAGCACGTCAACGCGGAGCATCAATTAGACGATCGTAGCACTGCTCAAACCAGGGTACAAATGCAAGTTGTTAATCAGTTGGAACAACAAGTTAAATTTATTTATTTTGAGTGTTAGAACGTTTAAGAATTAATTTAAATGTGTAATTACTATCTTTTTCTTTTTTTAGAAATTGATTACTATAATTACAATCCTTGTGGAATATATTTTACCAACAATTTATTGAAAATTTTTTACGATTATAATTATATATTAAGCTACTATTATGTTAAATTTTTCATTACCACAAATAGTGTATTTTATTCATTTTTAAATTTAAAATATTTTATCTATTTTAAGAAAAATTTAAAAATTGGTCAATAAAAAGATTCGAACTGGTTAAAGGGTTCATGTCAAATGATCGATAAAATAGAAATTTGGAGTCGCTTGAATTTCAATAAAAATTTATAGGCTCGTCATATATATTCTAGCTGTATTGAAAACGAAATTTTTAGCTCGTTAGCAGTTATATTAGATAATGAGGATTTAAGGTACAAAGGACCTTTTTAAAATCCCCTTTATCTCAAATGATACAATTCCTAAGTTTCTTGTTACATCTAACTATAACATATAAGACATTTGCCTATAAATATTTGTATAAATTGAAACAGATGGATTGATATAACATGGAATGACTCGAGAGCGTATGTATAATAGCATTATTTTTATTTTAGAGATGAAATTTTATCTATTTGGATCCAGCAGGTTCTTGACTGGATCCCCAATTCTTGACTGGATCAAACCGGTTTTTGACCTGTTCTTTTTATATATTATATTAATTCATCTATTTTTTGAAAAAATGAAGATTTAAAAAATATATATATGAAACTAAAATAATTACAACACACTAAATAAAATTATTCTTCTAGATGAATAAAAATATTAAATACTGTCCAAAGAATTTTATTGTTATTCTGCTGAAGATAATATTAACAAATTTTCTTATATTTTTATTGAATCAAATTTATTTACATTCTAACGTGTAAGAGACTTAAAAGAGTTATATAAAAAATCCAATATGGCTTAGGAAATGGTAGGGATTAAGAAATTATATATAGTTCGTATTTAATCTGTTAAAATGTTATTTTAAGCTTGCGAGAGAACGAGAAACTTTGCAAGCTATGATGTTCCACTTGCACATGAAACCATTATTAGATCAACAACAAAGTAAAGATCAACTATCAATGCTGTCAAATAAACAGGTTAATAAGAATGCTTCTTTTTTAAATTCCAAATGCATCTTTTTAAAAAGTTTATTTTTACCCTTTTTGAGATTCTATTTTAACAATATTATTTTTTTAGATTCTTAATCGAATTCTAAATATAAATAATTTCTGAATTTCATTTAGAATTCCCTGAATTATAATTCTTCCAACAATCATCACCAGCTCTCGGCGTCATCCTCCAAACAAAATCAAAGCCACAACTTTTCTAACCCTCTAAACAACAATTCTTTGAACCCAAACAATCTCCTCAACGGTATCAACCTCGATCACCATAACCCCTTTACCAGTGCCGGTAACAACAAGAACACTCTCTTCTTGAATGCCAATCATGGCGCCAACAATAGCAACAACAATCAAAACGTGCTGACGCTCGTTAACAACGCCATAAACCTGAGCGGACTCAGCAAGCAACAACAGCAACAACTTTTGCTTCTTCAGCAACAGCAGCAACACAATTCTTCTTCATCCATCGGAGCAGGTAACAATTTTAACCCCTCGATTTCCCCACTCAGTTCTTCGCACGCCCTCCATCAACACTCAAGCGGATCACACCATAACACAAACAGTAATGCCATTCTAAATAATTCGCCTCAAGGGCAACAACACGCTTTTCTTCTTCAAAACAACCTTAATAGCAATCAGCTGCTTTTAGCATCCCAAAATCGCCAATCCTCCCCCCAGCAACATCAATTGCAACAGCATCACAACACCCCGACACAGCAGCAGCAACAACAGTTGCAACAATTGACTCTGCAACATCACCTGCAAAATGGGAATGTTATATTGGGTAATATTTATATTTACATTATCACGCCCAACAAATTATTTTGTATTATGCACAAGATTTTAACTGTTAAAATTTTAGTATACGAAAAATAGGTAAGGGTATTTATTATTAGGGGTGTACCGATACCACTAGATATTAAATTGATATCGGCCGATAACCGATCCGATATCATATCTAATTTTGTATTCTGCAAAGATACCGGTTTTAATTTTTAATATACTTTTTATTAGTACAACATCTATAATTTTACTATACCATAACATATGTCATTTAAATATATTATAATGGTCAGTTATAGTTTATATTCAATTCAATTGCTATTATTTATATAATAAGTAATAACATTAATCTATTTACATAATTAGTAATAAAAAAATATTTTATGAAATTTGAAATTAATATTTAAAATTAATATATCGAAGATTTCTTTTTATATCAGAGATATGTCGGCGGTGATGGGGACTGTTAATATCACTAGCATCACTAAAAACAGATACTGAAGAGATTAATGAACACTTTTTTAAACAGAATGCGAAAAAAAATAACTATATTGCAGAATGTTTATTAACTAATTATTTCTATTAAAAAAATTAAACATAAAAATGTATTTCGATTTTATTTATAAAAATAAATGGTTTTTTAGATATAACTTTTTTTAAATTTTGTTAAAAGCGCCATTTTATATCGGATCGAAAAATTTTATAATATTTGCCGATAACCGATATTTTAAAATGAGCGAAATATCGGCCCGATCCGATCCGATATAAAATATCGGTACATCCCTATTTATTATGTTGATTCTTTTGAGAGCCAAATGAAAATTGATTTCAATTTAGGGAGCCAAATATGAATGTGTATTAAAAAGTAAATTCCTTATCTTAATCCTGGTCATATTATTTGAAAGCATTAAGTCATAATATACAATTAGTTTTTTCCTTATAACAGTGATTATTCCCGTTTTATTTTAGTGGTATTTTTTAGATCCTGAGTCAGGCTTCTGGCTGAATTATACAAAAAATATAATTTTATTAATTATAAAATTATAAATGAATATCAAATAGGCAACAACACCTTGATTGGGGGCGGTCCAGGAGGCAATAATCTAAATGCCGCAGCTGCTCTTCAGCTTCAAATCCAACAAATTCGAGAACAATTAGGCGAAGAATTACTCAATGGGTTCGTTATTAATAATCCCAATTCTTCTTCTATGACCAACCTTTCCCTCACGGATGATAATAACGACATAGATCAGAAGCTCCCTCAACATTTTTTACTCAATAACGTCAACAATGTGCTCAACTTGAATCAACATCAACTTGCAGCTCTAAATGGAGGTATAAATCTCACTATAATTGTGAAATGAACCATTTTTTATTCTCGTTTGTAAACTAAATTATGGATTTTAGACATTAAGTATGGCTAAACATGTGAATCAAATTATTCCATATAAGTTTTGTCTATAAAAATAAATACTCAATTCATTATTAATAATTCGAATCGAATAGTAACGAATATGAATTGTAAGGTATTCGTTTTTTCAAATATTAATAAGCAATTATTCTATTTGAATAAAATTTACTTAATATATGATGATTTTTTTAAAATTGAATCGAAATACTTGGCATGATCATTATTTGTTTTTAAAATATAATCATTCTGTCATGTAACGAAATTTAAGAAGTGTTCAACTGCTAGTTGGAAATAATTTGATGTCAAAAAGAAATCAATCAGGAAAACTCTGTTAAAATTGGCTGGACATAAATTAATTTAATATGCATGATTTCGATGTTAACTTATTGCATGTTCTTTAACATTAGATTTCAGAATATATTTTTTTTCTGTTAAAAATTTAGACTTGTAATAATATTTTTTAAAATCAATTCTGAATTATTTGAATGATACGAATCGAATACAAATTTATTTTATTATTGGTATGAATAGTAAATTATTATTTTATTCATAGTCTAATAAAGTGCTATAATTTGACCTGAAATTATGACAGGGGTAAATAAAAATGGGCAGCAAAATTTCTAAAATAAAATTATTATTCCTCCGAGATTAGGACCAAGCAAATTATTTAAATTAAATTTCAGGCCAAAAATAATTAATCTCGAGTTTGTCGCCTTGACTAATTATCCTTAAAAATTATAAAATTTAAATAATACATAGTTTAGCTTTATAAACTCAAAAGAAAAAAATTTGATTAATTTACATACTGGATATTAACGCTATTGATTCAAGAAGATTAACAAACTGATTAGTATAAGACCAACGTTTAGAACCAGGATTTAAAAGGTTTAGGTTCTGAATATTTTAAAAAGAATGAGAAGTGTTTTCTAAAAAATTTGGAAAAGAGGGTTAGAGAGTGTCTAGGGTGCCATGACATTTGTACTCAGCTAGACTGACGATTTCTTTAATATAATGCATTAAAAAGTGTGCATACGAAATCAGCCATTGAAAGGCACTTAGATGAAATATCTTTCAATGGCCGTCTACTACAGTCAATGACATTGACTACAGCTGAAATTTCAATGTATGTACACTTTTATTAACAATGGACAGTCTAGGTTACTAATAGGCGATTCCTTCAGTATAATGCATTAAAAAGTATATATAAGGCGAAATGTGAAAGATATTTAAGACGAAATATCTTTCAATGGCCGTCTACTGCATGACATAAACTTGCACTTTTGTTAGAGCACCCTCCCATAAATTATAAAATGGGATACAGTTCTTTTTTTAGGAGAGGGATTAGAGGTTCCAGTCCCCTGATTTCTTCACATTTTAAACTTTGATAAAATACCTTTTTTTATAAATCACTATCTTAAATGTATAAAAACAGGAGGAAATCTTCTTCATCACGCCACCGGCTCCGGAACTGGCACTACCACGAATAGTACGCCCACGACTGGACATAGAGGGAGACCAAGTCTGAATAGTCTCAATGCCAGTGGGGGTCACAGCATAAATAGCTCTGCTAGGAAAAAATGTAGCGATAAGGGCAAGGGTATTTTTTAAAAAAAAATTCTATGCATGCATGTTTAATATTTATTTTATAGCTCGAATATTATATCAGTTTAGGGCAATTTAATTATAGAAAAAAATTCCCCTGAAACTACAATATGAGTTTTGACAATAAGCATCTATTTAATTTCAAATGCTTGAACTAAAATGATTGTAATTAATATGACATGAAAGATAATTGAGATAAAAAAACCCATAAGATATAAAAATAATGGGTATTGACTATAGAATTCATTTTTTAAAACATATTTAGACACTTAGGCTGCCTTTATTATACAATACAATGTAAACTGTTTAGTAGTTTACATTTAAAAAATATCTGATTTGCCAAACTTAAGTATTAGTGGTAGTAAGTTATTACCTTGGTTAGGTTATCATTCGAGGTCAACCAGTCTGCTAACATATTTCATTTTGCATAAGAATCAACTTATGTAGGCTGCCTTTATTATACAATACAATGTAAACTGTTTATATGTTTACATTTAAAAAATATCTGATTTGCCAAATTTAAGTATTGGTGGTAGCAGGCGCGTAACCAATGGGGGGAAAGGGGGAAATTTCCCCCCCCCATCGCAAATTTGACTGTTTTCTTAAATATCATTTTAAGCTAATAAAAATTTTACCCTCCACCCCCTCCCTTCCCAATCAAAATTTTACAAATATTTGAATAACAATTTTCCAACATAAATCTTATTTTTTATAAATATATTTTATTAAAATTTCCTTTCCTTGTGACTACATTAACATTATTCAAAAATATTAATAAAATGGAAAAATTTTAAGCCAAAGAGATTGAAATCAAATGGTAATTTAGTTTATTATTATATATAATTATTTTATTAAATTCAAAATTATTAGTAAGTTAGAATTAATAAGTATTTTTAATATTAATTATTAATAAATATCTATAATTTTTTACTTCGATTTTGTAGAACAGAAGAAATAGAAATACAAAAGTTAAATAAGGCTGAGCATGAAAAAAAGTAATGTGTCGTCAGAAGCGATATCATTATTGAATTCAATTGATCAATCAGAGTTTATCATTGCTGCTAGTTGCATCAATAAATTATTTTCCTATAGCTCACTACTTTGTAGAAATTTACAAAAACCAAATTTAGATTTGGTTCAGGTTATTGATTTGGCGGAAAATATTTATGAACAGGTAGATACAATAAGAATGAATGTAGATGAATATTTTCATAATATTTGTATAGACGTTGAATCGAAAGCTAAATTTTATGTTATAACACTAAATAAACCTCGTCTAGCACCTGGGCAATTATTGAGATGTAAAATAAATATTGGCTCAACTAAAGAATATTATAAAATATCCACTTTCATCCCATTCTTAGATACTTTTTGCAAATAAAAGTACGGTTTTTAGATAAAAAAACAAGTCTTTAGCAATCTTCAAGTTTTAATACCCAAAGATCCATCTTGGTTTTCTAATGCCACTATTGGTAAAATTAAATATTTAGCAAAATTTTATTCCTATGATATTGATACTGAAATAAATTTAATCAGTGAATTCGAATTGTGGTATAAATATTTACTACGTTTAGCTATTTTACCTGAGCATGCTATTGATGCGCTCAATCGGTGTAGAGAAACCTTGGCTCTAATTCCTAATATTTTGAAGTTGTTTTATATTCTACCATGTTTGCCTATTATAACAGGTACGAATGTAAGGACTTTCCAACTTAAGAAGGTTGAAAACATATTTATGAAGTACTACTTCCGAATCTCGGCTAAATGGGTTAGCTCTGTTAAATATCCACAGAGATTTGGTTCCAACGACAAACAAAATTCTTGATGAATTGGCAACATTCCCACGAAAATTAAAAATTTTACATTATAATTATAGTATTTAATAGAAAATTTTGTATAATACTGTATTTGATAAGAAGTTTAAAAAAACTTGTTTTTTAAATTATTTTCTAGTCAATATTTTATAGTTTTGTTAAACGCCTCGTTTTGAGCCGATTTTTAAAAACGGCTAACTCAGTTATTTATCCAGAAAAATATTATGCAAGCCTGAAAATTTTGCTCATAGAAGAAGCAAAGGTCTAGACATATAGTATCGAAATTTCGAGGCTTAGTTAATATTTTTCTGGCGAAAATATTGAGTTAGCCGTTTTTAAAAATCGGCTCAAAACGCCGTTTAACAACATTAATATTTTATACACACTACTATTAATATTTTCAATAAAAAAATTATATTATACTTATATTGTATGAGAATTTAAGCTAAGGGTAGCTTTAAAGCAAATTTTATAAAAAAAATGACATTAAAATTTATTTCAACTTTACATTTAAAAAACTTTATTAAATATAATATACCTAACTAAAAATAATAAAAAATAGGCTTGTAATATCCATTAACACGAATTAGTAAATAATAGTTACAAAAAAATTTTTCCCCTCCCATAAGAAAATCCTGGATACGCCACTGGGTGGTAGTAAGTTATTACCTTGGTTAGGTTATCATTCGAGGTCAACCAGTCTGCTAACATATTTCATTTTGCATAATAATCAACTTATGCATAAAAATAAAATTCCAGAGCAATCATCATATTTTAGATATTCTAATTTATGATTTTTTTAAAATATGGGCAATGTTTATGTTGAACGTGACTTGTTAACTATTATTATCTAATGATGTAAACGGCTTGATTTAAAAATGACTTACCTGATATTCTAGCCAAAAATATTACGCAAGCCTGGAGATTTTGCTCATTGATACCAGAATGGATTGGACATCTATTAACGAAATCTCAACGCTTGTGTAATTTTTTTTGTTTAAATATTGAATCAGCCGTTTTTAAAAGTCGAGCTATTTGACAACACTATTTTAATTCTTTGTATTGTTACAAATAATAATAAATCCACATTTTTTAGCTATTCTTTTCTTTTAAAATAAATAATCATTTTTTTCAAAATATTGTCTCCAATACGATATTTAAACCTTCACTGCATAGTTGGACCCCCCCCCATAACTATACTGGTGGATTCTAATATCTCAGATAATATTAATATTTTAGATATAAGATTTAGCGCAATTGTAAAATTATTAAAGATTTATAAAGTTGCTAAAAAAAATTTCAACCTTTGTTTAATTATATTTTTGTCACCAAAAATATAAATTTTATTAATTCAATATTAAATAGTGTTAATTACATAAATTTTATTAAAATATCAAATAGTAAAAAAAAATATTTAATGTCAAATATGTATATTTTTTAAATAGCACTCATGGCAAGATACATGCATGTGATATTTACATATGATGAAGGTATCCATAAATATTGTTTTAGTAAAATATGCAAGCCTTAATATATATTGTTCCATATTATTTGTTTTAAAGGATGATCAGAATTTTCACTTGTCTATTTTAGCCTTAATACAAATAAGAATATATTTATATATTAACACATTATATATATATATATTCATAGTTAATTTTCTGTCTAATAAACTATGTATCTTTATTTAAATATAAAATGAAAGTGAAAAATTAAATATCGATTAATAAAATAATATAATATTGAAATATAAAATTACAATATTGAATACTTTTCTATAAAGGTAGGAGCCACAAGTTTGTTTATTTACTATAAGTGCTTTCTTTATCAAGAACAATGGAATAAACAAATAGACAAAAATTTTGGGTAATTTTCATTTCTTATTAGTTTGTTCGTTAATACTTATATTTCATTTGTTAATTTTCAGGGGAATAATTGGGTTTAAGGTTTTTATTTGATAATCATAAGAAAAATAATTATATAAAATATTTACTAAAATCTGCTCAAAACAATCGGGACAATAAATTGCTTGATGCTCTTTGAATAGGGGTTTTGGCATAAGTAGCAGGAAATTGTCAGCTTATGCCATGTCATAAAGCGCCAGACTTGACAAATGCAGGGACCTGATTTTTCAAGTGTTCTTTTATTATAATCCGTTGCCGTGCACCAGTTATTTTTGATTACAATAGGAATACCTTCTTCAAAGTGATGCAATTTTTGTAATAATTTTAACAAGGTTGAGCTAATTTTTTTAAAGATATAATTAAGCAAAAATTATATTATGGAAATAGGTTTTTTTTTGTTTTTATATCTATTGTCTTTATATATTATATTTTCGAAATATTATTTATTAGTGCAAAAGAAACCTCATAAACGCTAACTATTCGGGGTATTTACTGTACTCTTGGTTGAATTATAAGATTATTGAGGTGGAATTTGATTATGAAGCAATTCATCATGAGTTGTTGACCTATAACAACTTTTAGCAAACTAGTGTAATTTCACCTTTACATTCCCTCTTTTAGGATTTGTACAAGCTGAATATACTTGATCCTTTCTAGCTCTGTTAAATGTGATCATTTTTACTTTACTCCTATTTTCAAGGTTATAATCAAGGAGGAAATATCTTAATTTTTAAACTAAAATCATCCTCCTTAATATCAATTTTTAAAAAATCTCGTTTATTAGAATTAGGCATTTGCTAATATTTTTATCGGATCGGGCCGATATTTTACCTTTTTAAAATATCGGTTATTAGCCGATATTATAAAATTTTTGCAATCCAATCCGATAAAATAGCGTCTTAATTTTAAAAAATCTCAAATTTCATAATATATTTGTTTATTTCTTATTATGTAAATGGATTAATGTTATTATATAAATAAGTCATTTATCAATAAAAATAAGACGAATAAAACTATAACTGATCATGATAATATATTTAAATGAGTTTGGTATAGTAATTATAGATTTTATACTATTAAAAAGTATGTGAGATTAGTAGATATATAGTGATTTAAATCGCTTCATTTGAACCGAATACAGTGCCTGTGCCTCGAGATTTAGTTATGCAAATTTTTTTTGCCATCTATGAACAAAACCTTCAGGTTTGCCTAATATTTTTATCGATAAAATACTGATTTCGTCATTTTTTAAAAATAGACTTAAATGGAGCGATTTT